TTATTTGTATTAGTTAAGCTCTAAACGCTCATATTCAGGTGTGTGAATGTATCTCTGGTTTAATATCTTCTAGATGTTTCTTTCTTGGTATCAAAATGATCTGCTCTTTATTCCTCAAACAATGATGTTACACTATGTGATCGTGAAATGCATCACACTATTTGTACTATATTTTGGGTAAAACTGCACCAATCCTCCACACCCAGCCATAAACATGCAAATGGACCATAAAGGGAGATTAGGTTGTGGTTAATTGATGTGAAATACTGCCATTCTTTTGCTCTTCTCTCTCTCTTCCTTACTTTCCTTCATTCTGTATATATTTGCTTAATTTAGTTGTGTGTTAGCTATAGTTTCATTTATTAAAATCTTATATTCACAATTGATTGTCTCTGTGTGCAGCTCACAGTTATAATTAATTATAAATATTTCCCTTTTGAGATAATTTGCTACGCTTAGTATAATTCTAATTTTGGCCTATATATCATGATGGGTTTGGTATGTTATACAAAGAGCAGTATAATCTGACATAAAAAATTTGTAAAGGCTGTTCCTGAAAGATCGATTTTGGAGGGAAATATTGTCTGTTAATAAGAAGTTAATTTTCTGACTTTAGTCTATCCAGTATCAGGAAACTATAACTAACAAGACTATAAAACTGGTCATCGAACTGCATCAGAGCTTCATTACAGCACTAAATATCTAAGTACTTTTATATCTGACCGTTTAACAGACAAAACAGAACAAAAGTGTTAAAACACTGAAGGATTCTTACCTTCTTGTCCACGTGCCATTTCCTCAATCAATAAAAACCCTGTGGGAAAAAAAAGTGAGACAACCGGGTTTTGTTGAATCACATTCAAATTTGCATTTTCAATTTAATTCACCTTGATATTGCCGCTAATAATTAAAAACATTATCTGAATGATAATGGAAACATAATGCATTGATCTACGTAATGACCATGTTGGATGAAAACATTGACACATTAATAATACAGATAATTATTAATGTGTGTCACAGTTGGTTTTGGGTTAAATTGGTTCCTGTCATGTGTTTCCTTTGACCCTGTCATGTAATTTTTGCCATGTGGTCTTTTTGTTCATGTGTCTTGTTTCTATTGGTTGTCTAGTTGATGTGTCATACTTTCATTGGTTGGTTTTTGTCATGTGACCCTATAGTTTGATATAAGTAGCCCTCGTGTTGCCGTTGTTCCTTTGTCTAGCTTTGATGTTGTAACCCTGCTGTCGGAGTTGTTTTTGTCAAGCCATTGTCAAGTAGTGATGGGCAGAGCGAGGCTTCATGAATCACTGAAACAGTTGAAGCAAATGTGCCGAACTGTGTGAGGCTTCAAAACAATCTGACACCCGTCTCCACTGTGACACCTAGTGGTCACTTGCACGTGTTGCTCTGCCTTGACTACGATTTACGAATGATAACCTACATGTTGTTTATGTCAAACAATAAAGTGTGTCCACATCATTGTAAGAGCAATTACATTTTTTTTTTTTTTTATAGTTGTATTTTTTTATTTGATTTTTTTTTTTAAATAATGAGTTGAGTTTTTAACATGTCTGAAAACTACATGATATTGGTTTTGTAACCTTTAAGCTCCTCATTGAGAATAATTATAGGTTATATTAGTCATAAGAAGTGACCATTAATAAAAGAAATCAAGCCATGATGTGTCACATTTGTTATATTGTGAGATTTTTATTTTGCCGCCTGTTGGTCGAAACACTTGTAAACCACACCGAAGCTTTATTTAGCCATTGTCATGTGACATTGGTGTTTTGAATCACACTTCGGAGCAGTGTTTCGAAATATCTATGCTTTGGGATCTCGACACTGCTTAGAAACGTCAGTTTCGCCTCAGCCATCCCTATTGTCAAGTCAAGCCTGTTGTCAAGTCAAGCCAAGCCTGTTTGGATAATGTTTTGTGTCTTCGTTGTAAATAAACTGCACTTGGATTCACTACACTCGCCTACAGTTGGACTCATTACAGAAAGCTAGACCACAACAATGAACCCAGCAGTTCATCTCCTGTGCCTTCATCAAGGCAATCACTCCTAGGGTTGAGTATCGAAAATCGATTCTAATTTCAGAATCGGATACTTAAGGTCAGGAATCAGATACTTTTTGTAAAATAAAAATGTCTATTCCGCCTATCAATTCCTGTGTGCGCATCTTTTCCTTTTTTTCCCATCTGTGAGGACCCGACTCAGAATAGCGAGAAGGGTCCTGGCAGATTGCAAAATGCTCCAGTGTTTGGCTACACTTGCGATCAGTAAGTAACTGCTAGGTATAATATTTGTGATAAGCTAACATGTTGCAAGAGAGGTGTCGCCACCAACATGACAAAGCACTTTAATTAAACAGATCGCGAACACGATTCAAACACCAACGTGATCTTTCCTAAATGACAAACCGTGTGCGGTTGACGTGTGCGATCACAACAGTGTGATCAACTTTCTGTTCGTCCCTGTGTGATTTGAACATTAAAATCTGTGTTCGCACCGCCGCTGACCTAAAGAGAGCAGCTGTCATGTACAGTGGGGAAAATATTTATTTGATCCCCTGCTGATTTTGTAAAGTTGCCAAACGACAGCCAAGAAACCTTAAGGATTTAGAGAGGATCTGTAAAGAGGAGTGGATCAAAATCCCTCCTGAGATGTGTGCAAACCTGGTGACCAACTAAAAAAAAACGTCTTACCTCTGTGCTTGCCAACAAGGGTTTCTGCACCAAGTACTAAGTCATGTTTTGCTTGGGGATCAAATACTTATTTCACTTACTAAAATGCAAATCAATTTCTAAAAATCTAAAAAAAACATTTATTTGTAAGTGGGCAAACTTACCAAATCAGCAGGGGATCAAATAAATATTTTCCCCACTGTATATGTATGAAACAGCTTCACAAAGAGTCTTTTCAACCACACAGTATCATTATTTCTGTGTTACAATCATTCAAATAATCATAGAAGTACGGAGATGAAAGTTTATAGTTTGGATATGAACACTGATATGTAAGGTAGCGATCAAAATAGAGTAAATTTGTCTTTGAATCATTCATTCAAAAACACTGATTCATCCAATAATGAAACAAGTAAATCTTTAGTGAGTCATTGAATCATTCATTCATAAATTACATGTGATTTTTGTAAAAAAAAAAAAAACACATGTAATTTATAAAAAAAAATAAAAATTAAAAATCCAAAATTGTGCAGCTCTATTTTGCACACAAACAGCTCTTAATCGAGTCCAGTTTTTAAGTAGCCTGCTGATTTTTGTTCATGGTATTCAGTTGCAACTAAATGTTTCGCAAAAAAAAGACAGAATAAATATTTTTGATATCTAAATGTTTGAATTCATTTTTTTAACCACACTGGCATTGAAACTGGGAATAGATAAGAATCGGAATCGATAAGCAGAATCGGAATTGATAAAATTCAAATGATACCCAACCCTAATCACCCCATTGAGGAGTATGTGGAGGACTTTTGTGGTTTGTCTCATCTTGTGGATTTTAATGATGTGGCACTTAAGGACGTTTCTTGTTTTGGTTTGAATGAACCCTTACGTTCACGTCTTCCTGGAGGGAAAATTCACTGGTCCCTGGCTCAATACATCAACCATGCCTTGCTGCTTAATGGATCCTCATTTACTTCAGGAATTGCGGATGAGGAGCCCTGCAATCCTACAGTAGCCACCACACTTGAACATTTTCACGTCCCAACCGTCATGTCTGGTGTTGTACACATCATGCCTGCCAACCCAGGGCCTGCTCACATCATGCCTTTCAGCCCAGAGCCTCTGCACAAGATGGCTGCCACACCCGAGTCCCCTGCCAAGATGGCCTCCATGCCTGAGTCTCGACCCGTCATGGCTGCCATGATAGAGCCTAAACCCAGTATGGAGCTAGGACAAAGAAAGACAAGACTAATTGCTAGTGTTATGGATCCACTCATGATGTCAGTGAGAGCGACTGGCATCCCAGTGGTCTCTATGCTCCCAAGCCTCACAGCCTTGGCACTCTCGGGCCCAGCGGATCTCCCTCTGTCTACTGCGCTGCCCGTGATGGCGGTTGCCATTTTGTGTGTCTGGGCTGCACACTGCTCTCCTATCCATGAGTCTGCCCCAGAGGTGGCGGCGTCCACTTCTGAAATCTCTGCCTGTCCTGTCATGGCCAAGGAGGCCATCCATGAACTCTCTGCTTGCCCTGGCATAGCCATCAATGCCATCTCTGAACTGTACACCTGTCCTGTTATGGCCACTGAGAACATTGTTAATCTCTCGGTGACTTCTGTTGTAGTTCCGCCTGATCCGCCGTGGTGGTTCCCTGCACCGTCTGTTCCACTAAACTGGTCATCTGCTCCACCGTGGGGATCTTTGGTCCCATCTACTCCGCTGTGGTGCTCTTCAGCTCTGCCGGCTCCGCTCTGGCTCCTTGATTCACCGGCTCTGATCTGGTGGTTTTCTGCTCCGCCTTGGCTCCCTGCTCCACCAGCTTTGCCACTGCTCCATGGCCCAGGTCCTCCACTGCTCCACGATCCAGGTCCTCCACTGTTCCACAGTCTGCCACTGCTCCATGGTCCAGGTCCTCCACTGTTCCACGGCCCATGGTCTTCCCCACTACTCTACAGTTCAAGCCTGCCATTCCTCCACAGCCCAGGCCCGACATTGTTTCACGATCCCGATCTTGTTCCCCTTCATGGACCTGGCCCTCCTCCCCGCCCCCTGGACCACCTCCACTCCACCACCCTCCTGAACGTTTTGGGTTTTGAGATTTTGTTTAGAGCAGTAATGACACATCTTTACAATGTGTCAGTGGTTTCATCCAACATGGTCATCAAGCAGAAGAATTCAATCTAAAGTGGGATGAGGACACGTTCCTGTGAATCACTACCAGACATTCTAGACAAACACAGTCATAAAGACTGTTAAACCATTTAAATACACAAACGAGCAAATATTTAACATAAGATTTGTTTATGTTAAGTAGATCCCAAAAAAATTATAATAATAAACTGAGAAAAACAATCCTAGAGATCAAGTAAAAAAAACAAAATCATAATCTACAATCTACACCAGGGATCCTCAAATCTGGCCCACGACATCCACTTTCCTGCAGAGTTTAGCTCTAACCCTAATCAAACACACCTGAGCATGCTAATCAATGTCTTCAGGATCATTACAAAATCACATGTAGGTGAGTTTGATCAGGGTTGGAGCTAAACTCTGCAGTGCATTGGCCCTCCAGGGCAAGATTTGAGGAACCCTGATCTACACTATCCTTAAAGTTTTGGGGCAGTATTTTATTTAAGAACTTGATACTTTTATTCATCAAGGATGCATTAAATTGATCAAATGTGCCAGTAAAGACATTTATCAGGGCTGCCAACTCTCACGCATTCAGTGCGAGACTCACGCAATTGACACTTTTCTCGCACTCTCACGCCACACGTCCATTTTCTTTGCCACACGTCCATTTTCTTTCAGTTCACTGAAATTTGAAAATGTAATAGGACATTGGCGAAACAGATTTGGAAGCGCTCCAGTGCGTAGTTGTGTTTGCGCTCTGGAGAATGTGAAAAGTTTCTATTTACAACGTGTTTTTGTATAGTTGAGCAATGTAGCCATTCACAGACAGATCTGTTGATTCTTGAACACCTCTGATTGGCCATTCCGTTCAAATAAACGCCGGACTTTGTTCTGCACGCTCGCGAATCCTCACACTGTAACACAAGAGGTTCAAAGATTATAAAGGAACTTTGTGAGATCGCGATGAACTGAAGT